TCCTCCGAATCATACATACTCATTCACTCACTCAGACAATCCCCACATAGTGATTAAAACACATAAATACAACAATAATAATGATAAAAAGTGGGATCATTCATTCAATGTCATACATACTCCTAACGTATCCCAAACACAGTAAGAAAAAGATAGCAAAAGATAGAAAAAGGAAGAAAAAATAAAATTGCGCACTTATTACGTTGTTAAAAAGTGAGTCCAGATCGAGCCAAATGGCTCTCCATAATTAAAGTAATTAAAATAGATGTTGTGCTTAGCGTCCAGTTATAGTCCGGAGAAGGTATACGGGGGGGTAGTTCGTATTCCCCTCTTCTGTTGGTCTGGATAAGTTCAAAAAGTCCGGAATAAATAGAGGGGATAGGAGGTCGTCTTCCACCAGTGCTGCTCCAAATAGAGTTCCCAAGATAATAGTGGTAGGTTTTTCATCAGAAAATGGGCATACATAGCCTTTAGGAGGTTTATAGAGTGCTCCTCCTGGGGCCTGGGGAGGGGGAATGAGCAAAAAATAACCAGTTTTTTGCTCATTTTTACCCTCCCCAGCCCCCAGGAGCACTCTATAAGCCTCTTAAAGGCTATGCACAGACATTTTTGGAAAGGGGGTTTCGGGAGGTCAAAAATGCTGTATTCCATGTATAAGGCGCACCCAGATTTTCACGCTCTTTTTTGAGGGGAAAAAGGTGCATCTTATACTCTGAAAAATATGGTAATTGGATTTTGTAAGCGAAGAATAACAGCATGCTTTTCATCCTACAGGGAAAGGAAGGCTGTTTCCTTTCAGGATGTACTAAAAATACCTTCTTAACAATATGTTTCTGCTTGAATCTCTAGCTACATATTTGAGTTGTTTGCAAAGGCTCAAATCACATTCCAAACCCAGAATGCTCTCCTTGAATCCCTGGAACAAATTACGCAGTATTTAGCTGGCCGTAAGTATACACCCCAGTTTTACGGGGGGAAAGATGTCTTGCGGAAGATGCGAAAATGGAATAATAATGATGGTTGCAGCGTCCCGGGGTCACATGATCACCTTTTACGACCTTCTGACAAGCCAGGCCAACGAGGAAGCCAGATTCACTTACCAGTTCTGTTACTAACTTAACCACTGAAGCGATTTAGTTAACAGCTGTGGCAAGAAAGGTTGTAAAATGGGGCCAAATTCACTTAACAAATGCCTCACTTGGCAGCAGAAATGTTGGGCTCAGTTGTGGCCATAAGTCGAGGATTACCTCTATTTACTAGAAAGAGTGCAGAGAAGAGCAACAAAGAGGATTAGGGGACTGGAGGCTAAAACATATGAAGAACAGTTGCAGGAACTGTGTATGTCTAGTTTAATGAAAAGAAGGACTAGGGGAGACGTGATAGCAGTCTTCCAATATCTCAGGGGTTGCCACAAAGGGAGTCAAACTATTCTCCAAGGCACCTGAGGGTAGAACAAGAAGCAATGGGTGGAAACTAAGCAAGGAGAGAAGCAACTTGGAACTAAGGAGAAATTTCCTGACAGTGAGAACAATTAATCAGTGAAACAGAAGTTGCTTCCAGAAGTTGTGAATGCCCCAACACTGGAAGTCTTTAAGAAGATGTTGGATAGCCATTTGTCTGAAACGGTGCATGGTTTCCTGCCTAGGCTGGGAGTTGGACTAGAAGACCTCCAAGGTCCCTTCCAACTCTGTTGTTCTACTACCCACCCAGCTGTGTTCTGCACCAGTTGAAGCTTGCTACTGCTCTTCAGGGCGGCCCATGGAGAGCGCATTGCAGCAATCTAAGCAAGAGGTTGCAAGAGGAACATGGAGGAAGGTCCAGAAACGGACCAAAGCTGATTGATTCGCTAGTTTCGTAATTTCATAATTTAATGAGCTTATATGCCGCCCAATCCTGTAGGACTCCGGGCGGCTTACAAATACGAGATAAAATAAAAATAACAAATAGGGGAGAGAAAACGAAAAAACAGTTTAAAAAACACAACATACATTGGCTTAGCTGGGGGCTGGACCTAATTTGTAGATCAACAGCCCCAGGCCTGCCGGAACAGCCAGGTTTTGGTGGCTTTTTGGAAGGCCGTGAGAGTGGGAAGGGTCCGGATCTCTGCGGGCAGTTCGTTCCACAGAGCCAGAGCAGCTACAGAAAAGGCTCTCCCCCAAGTGTCGCCAGCTGGCATTGTCCGGTCGATGGCACCCGGAGGAGGCTTAGCCTGTGAGTTCTTATCGGCCGTTGGGAGGTATGCAGCAGGAGGCGGTCTCTCAGATATCCAGGTCCAAGTCCATGTAGGGCTTTAAAGGTAATCACCAGCACCTTGTAGCGCTATCCATTAATGACAGATCATTTTGAAACCATTTCTATGGAATATGTTAAGTGTTTTTGACAGGTTGCGACCTGCTAAATCCAATTTTCTGTTTCCAGATAATCCACTTAAGTACTCCTCTTAAAATCGAGAGTAAACAAAACTGTTCAGAGGCATTTGGTCAGACACATATGCCAGTTAATATTAAAGAGGTTTAACCCAAAAACCTTTGAGATGCATATATTAAAATTAACTCGGTTAATTTGATTCCTACATTGGCCGTAGTCTGAATCCTGTCAAATGTGAATACAGTATCTTGAGTCATCTCAAATTAGCAAGAAATTGTAAAAATGTTTTTGGAGCGGTTCCTCTGTAACCTTTCAACCTATTTGAATTACAAAGTGATGAGTTTCCACTTTTAAGGACACTTGTGTTTTGTCGTCTCCCCTGCCCCTTTGCTGGTGACCTGATGTCTGTTGTGACTTCCCGTATCATTTAATTGCATGGCTGAATGATGTACTGTTGTTACACACGCTCCCCAGTTCACCTTATGGTCACAAACTCAACACACAGCCCTGGTCATTAGCCACACTTGAATCATATTCAATAGAAGACTGAGGCACAACCGTTTTTTTTTTTTTTTTTTTTGGAGGACCAGGAGACCCAGTAAATTTAAAATAACACAACATTTTACTGGTCAGTCAATCAGGATAGAGCTGGAAGGGACCTTGGAGGTCTTCTAGTCCAACTCCCGTCTCAAGCAGGAGAGTTACTCTTTCTTTTCTCTCGCTCGCTTCTTCCTTTTCCTTTTTCCTTTTTTAAGTAGGTGTCATGATTAGAAGTTGGATAAGAAAGAAAGGGAAAGGTTTTTTTTAAAATAAAGAGTGATATGATCAAAAGCTAGAATAAGTGATAGAAACAAGAAAAGGGGGAACATTCGTGTAAAGCTTTTATATAACAAAATGAAAGTAATAACAAGAGAGAATGTGGAGTAATTGAATAATGAGACTATACATTACTATAAGTAAGTGTTATTATTAGAAATATATAAGCGGATTGAATGCAAGGATTATGATCAATTTGATTCGTTTTATTTGTATTAGAATGTATAACACTGAGGTGCCACCAGGGGTGGGTTCTGGCTGGCGTTACTGTCGGTTTGCTGATGCGCACGCTTCACACGCTGGATGTGCAGTTCAATGGAAATTGTTCTGCGTATGCATCTGAAGACACCTCTGGTTAAGTGGCTGGCATGACTCAATGCCGAAGGCTCATGGAACGCTGTTACCTTCCCACCAAAGTGGTCCCTATTTTTCTACTTGCATTTTTTAATGTGGTTTTGAACTGCTAGGTTGGCAGAAGCTGGGACAAGTCACGGGAGCTCCCTCTGTTACGCGGCGCTGGGGATTTGAACTGCCAAACTGCCGACCTTTCTGATTGACAAGCTCAGCGTCTTAGCCATTGAGCCACTGCGTCCCGTATGTTTGGTAGTGAATAACAAAAGGGAAGCAGTATATTCAATGAATGTTAGTCATGTGCATGTTTTTTGGATATATAGAAATACTATTTTCATATTTGTTTATTTTAGGTTCTGGGATATTCACTAACACCGCGGGACTGCATAAATTTGCAGATGTAATTCAGGTAAGCTTTTAGTTCTTGAATTAAATATATAAAATAAAATAAATGTTTTTATTACTGGTGTTCATCATTCTCCTAACCACCACTAGATGGGTCTCCAAGCTATACTTTACACTGAATTAATCAGGCCAAAAAAATATACTGTTTGNGGAATGGGGGGGGGAGGTGGAAGGTATATAATTGTAAAACTTATTAAAACTTTTAATAAAAAATAAATAAAGAAATAAAGAAAAAAAACAGTTGGAAGGGACCTTGTAGGTCATCTAGTCCAACCCCCAGCCAGCAAAGGCCACCCATCTTCGAGCTGCCAAAGTTAGGAAACACTGGGTTACCTGAATCTCACAAGGAAGTGTCATGCCCCTGTTGGAGCCTGAACCTGAGCTGGAATACAAGAGATTGAGGGGGCGACTTCTTTGGCTTTGGAGGAAAATGGGGAAGGGCAGGGCCAGTCAGGCCTGGGCTTTTCAGGAGTAGGACATCTTGTAGACAGGTGGAACAGGGGCAGGATGAACATGAGAGACAGAGCTCAGGCGAGGAGCAAGGACCACCTGCTCCTGATCCAAGAGCCCGGAGAGTGGAGAGAAGGCGAGAACAGCATGGTGAAATCTAACTCAGGTAATAATCTCAATGGGAGGAATGCCATAAGGAGGATTTATCCTGCAATTAAGGCTTAGTATTGATTGGTTGATTTTTATTGATTGATTGGTCCTTCGGCCATATCAAAGCGCAGAGTTCCAGAAACAAATTATTACTAAAATTTGATAAGAGAAGTTCAAAATGGAATAATGGATAAAATACGATTTAAAATTAAAATTGGAATAAAATGCGATTTAAAATGAAATTGGAATAAAACGTGATTTAAAATGAAATTGGAATAAAATGGAGCCTAAAATGAAATTAGAATGAAATACAATAATAATTAAGCCTTAGTTAAAAGACCTGGCTACTTATTTTTGCAAATGATCTCTCAAGAGGAAAATAGTTTTTTTCCCTCCTTTTAATCCCTCACATCGGGGCGGGGGGGGAGTTGGGGCCATGAAATGGCACTCATACTGGCCGGATGCCCTTCCCGACGCCTGCGTGGAGTTCACATCAGACCCCTAACCCATCGCGCCCAGATAGAGAAACATCTGCCACTGCCTGGGATCGAACCCACAGCCTCCTGAGCGTGAGGCAAGAGCGCTACCTCTAGGCCACCGCACCGTCATTCTCAATTCTCAAGAATAGCTCAACGAGGGGAAAGGGAAGAAGCTCATATTTTACCTGCTTTTCAATCATTTCGATATCGTATTTTTGGACCCAGTTTTCTATCTCCATTTCCACCTTGTATTTTTTCTAAAAAGGAAATAAGATCAGAGTAAAAATGGTCAGCTTGGCAGCAAAAATTATGATTCCGGTCTTGAAGGTTGGGGGACCGCTGCTGTCAGGGTGTGCAAATGTGTTTCATAGATTAGAGATTAGATTAATTAATAGAGTTGGAAGGGACCTTGTAGGTCATCTAGTCCAACCCCCCGCCCAAGCAGGAGACCCTACACCATTTCGGACAGATGACAGTCCTATCTCTTCTTGAAAGCTTCCAGGGATGAAGCTCCCACAACCTCTGAATACAGAATAATAACAGATTAACAGAGTTGGAAGGGAACTTGTAGGTCATCTAGTCCAACCCCACACCCAAGCAGGAGACCCTACACCATTTCAGTCTCTTCTTGAAAGCCTCCAGTGATGAAGCTCCCACAACTTCTAAAGGCAGCTTCTGTTTCACTGGTTGATTGCTCTGTCAGGAAATCCCTCCTTATTTCCAGGTTGAATCTCCTTGTGGAGTTTCCATCCATTATTCCTTGTCTGGCCTTCAGGTGCTTTGGAAAACAGGTTGACCCCTTCCTCTCTGTGGCAGCCCCTCAAATACTGGAAGGCTGCTATCCTGTCTCCCCTGGTCCTTCTCTTGACTAGCCATGCCCGGTTCCTGCAACCGTCCATTGTATGTTTTAGCCTCCAGTCCCTTAATCATCCTAGTTGCTCTTCTCTGCCCTCTTCCTAGAGTCTCCACATCTTTTTTATAGTGTGGTGACCAAAACTGGATGCAATACTCTAGGTATGGTCTTACTAAGGCTTTATAGAGTGGCATTAGTACCTCCCTTGATCTTGATTGCATCCTTCTGTTAATACAATTTAGGATTGTGTTGGCTTTTTGGGCTACCGCCGCACACGGCTGGCTCCCATTTAACTGGGTGTCCACCAGTGGTGGGATTCAGCCGGTTCGCACCTATTCGGGCAAACCGGTTGGTAACTTTCTAAGCAGTTCGGAGAATCGGTTGTTGGAAGAA